TAATAATGAAAAAAAATAATATATTTATATATTATAAAATAAAATCCGTTCGTCGTTTTTGATTGAATGACAATTTTTGTATTACTTCGACTTCACGATGACGGATGAATATTTAAAGATGCTAATCCATTAAGTCTTAACTGGCCAATAGAATTTATAAGATATGTTTTTATTCATTTTAATGTAGAAAAACTTCTTTCAGGTTCACATGATGTGACAGGCAATATTGCAAATATTTGAAGGAGTTTAAAAACATTTGGAAATAGGTCTTTATTGTACTTATCAAGAGCGTCAAGAACACTTTTTATGCTTAGATTTTTCAAATGTGTATGCCATAAMTTTACCTCTGTTTCAATTACTTCTTGATCAATAACATTAGAATAAAACTCACTTAAATCTTTGATAGCTTGTTGATTATAATTTTTATTAGAAATGAGAAAATAAAAGCCAGCTATATAATAGTTTTTTTGGTTTATAAATCGGTCATTTAATTGTTGCACTAAATTGTCCAGAAATGAAAGGAATACACTTATTTTTAAATATTTTAATCGCCGCAATCGCGATATTGTTAACCTGTATATATGTAATTTAATTAAAATAATAATTAGTATTGTGCATTATTTTATATTTCATATTGTATTTACGATTTACCTATGTTCCTATTTTATTATATATAATAATGTATATTGTAATATATATGCAATAATAATTTAATATATGATACGGCTCAAGGGGGGTGTCATATCCACCAAACACCCCCCTTGTATACGCCAYTGTCCAAATGCATAATTGGGTATTTAACACAGACCCCCCCACCACCATCGCCAACCTTACTTTATTTTGAATACTACTTTTAACCTACACAGATTTTGATCAACACGACAACACATTATATCAGTTAACAGATGACAGATGTGTACAATAAATTACCTGTATAAAAAAACATTGGGATATTATAATTAAATGATAAGCAAATAATAAAAATAAAAATATAGCACCACAGAAAAGAAATGATAGTAAATTAAACTATAATAACAAAAATAATTTTAATACCAAAAACTGCAAAATTTATTATCGTTATACAATTGAAATCCACATTTTAATGAAAATTATTTTGGACACAAGTTTTTACCATCCCCCCGCTCTTGTGAAAGAATATAATTGTGGTATGCAAAAAATAAATTGTAGGAGAGCTCCGTCCCCCTGTACACCWCCCCTAATTCAAGTACTGATTATATTATTATCATGATTATAATCGAATTAAGATTGACAAAATAATAAAATAATAATAATTAAACACATATTTTCACCAATTGAACAGCACAGAGAAAGTGGTTTTTAAGACTATTATAGTTAGAAATTTAAATCTTAGCAAGAGAACTAAATATTGATTAGCATCCAAAAAATTACAGATCTAACAAAACACCAAAAAGATTTATTCAAAGCAGTGAATAAGATTTACCTCCACCAGTTAAGGACAAATTTATACATAATATTTATAATGAAATAAAAKATGTTACTGTATTAGCAGCACTCAATGCTRGATTTTAACAAAATGTAATCGAATATTTAAGTTCATTAGTGAAATTTGTAAAAGGCTATGAGCTTATGACAGAAATTAAAAAACATTCATCACTCGGAATAAAAAAAATGTTTCTTAGTTAAACAGTTGAAATTTCAAATAAACATTCCAAAAAGAGCCAACAAATTTTAAAAACTATACCATTTCTACAAAATGTAATCGAATATTTAAGTTCATTAGTGAAATTTGTAAAAGGCTATGAGCTTATGACAGAAATTAAAAAACATTCATCACTCGGAATAAAAAAAAAACAGGAATATTATTACTGTAACATATATTTTAGACAAACATGAATAACCGTAGAAACTTCAAATATACTTTTAGTATTTTGTAGAAATGGTATAGTTTTTAAAATTTGTTGGCTCTTTTTGGAATGTTTATTTGAAATTTCAACTGTTTAACTAAGAAACATTTTTTTTTATACTTAAATGATTTAAACATTGAATTAATTTGAATCTGTTAAACTAATTGAGCAATTTATTAATTTACTGAACAAGGAAAAGTCTTCACCTATACTATATAGCGGACTTACTTCCCAATTTTTCCAAATTGTTCCTAACCTAACCTGTACATATTAATCTTGTACTGCTTACTAAATAGTACATATAGTTTTTCACTCTTAGAGATTAGAGCTTGACTTTTTAGACTTAGCAATTAACATCATGATTTACTTTGTCATTACTTTATTATGAAGTATTACAGTTTTACACTATTTACACTGTAAATTTTACAGTAGTTTTTTCTTTTAAATTCATTGTATAGTGCATACCAACAACACACCACTATCCCTTTAGGAAAAGTTAGCCACACAAGAAAATATCACACATTATTTCATTATGATTGTAGGCGAGTAATAATAATATCTATAATAGAGACAAAATATATTGTGATCAGCGTCATTGAACATAATTGCGTTTATCAGCTCTAAGAAGCACTAGTTGAAAAAAAAATTTTATCTTAAATAAAATTAAAGAAAACAGACATAAGCAAATAACGGTAAAATTTAATCAAAACAATACATATTTTTATAAAAACATTTAGCAATTTAACTCCCTATGATAAGTGACTAATAAACTAATTCAGTCATTTTTATATTTATTTAACTAACAACAATTTTTAATCAGACATGAATTGTTTGTTTTGTTACACAGACTTATTATAATGTTACGAGTATACATTTTGAATTCATATAAAAAAAAATCTTGCAGCCATTAACTTAATGTTTGTTAAACTCATTAACTAACRTGGTTGACAACATTGTACAAAATAATCGGTACAAGACATGTATCTTTTATCTGCAATTACATATTTAAGTTGATTATTACTATCAGAAGAYTGACCAGTTTTTAAATCAATAATGCAAGTATACAATAAGTAGGCATAACACATAAATATTATAAAAATTATAATATGCTTATGAAAAATAAATATAAGTAGTGAGAGCACGATGAGCAAGTGCTACCAAAAGCCATAAAATTAAAAATATTTTAAGTATATGAATATATTGAGCATCAAGCTTGTGGTTGGTGTGTGTATGTGTGTAAACTTATTAATTATATAATTATAYACAGTTAAGTATATTTWAAAAAATTCTAACAATAACAACAACAACAATAACAACAACAACAACATTACCACATTAAAAAATTACAAATTCAATAAACACAATTAATAATCTCACACATTAGCGTTGTCCGATCATAGTTTGAACAGATCATCCCAATATAAATGGGATAAGGTTGTATTTTAAAGTGACACAGTGATTGTCATAAGATTTGAAATTAGGTTTGTGATGGATGGAAAGTGCAAACTTATACTTTACCATGGCCAGACAATATACCATTTACAAATAACTAATATTAAAATTGTATGACACAGATGGTAAAAGAAACAGATACGTTTTCATCATAATAATCATCCTTTTTTGCTTTTTATCTCTGTAGCCATCATGTTTAGTTCGACCGATCCATAGCTCTGAAAATTATTAACATCAAAAAAATTAATTGAAAAAAGGAAATGGCATCAATATTAATATTTTCACAATCATATTGAATCAAAGACGATGCTAGATGCCAAAATTAACTCAATTCAAAACTACAAGCAAACAACTGTATCACTGGATTACAATCAAATACAACACTTTTAGCTACATCTAAATTATAACATAAAAGCTATTGTTAGATACAATTTATGAACAATTCATCCCATTAAATAAAAATAAAAT